TTTCACTGTAAGTATTCTGTTGATAATGGGTGCAAGTACTGCAAAAAAAATCATGTTCGTAGCTGCATAAATGGAGAAGTTATAACGAAAAATCTCATATCTGAACAATCAGTTGTATGGGAGCTATATGTTATAGTGGTCCGATTCTGCCGGTTCCGACAAATGATTATTACCTTATAAAAATACACCCACCTACCAAATTTGATACGGATATCTCGAAAACTGAGAGACTAGATTGCATACAAACAGACAGACAGACGGACAGACGGACATGGCTAAATCAACTCAGCTCGACGTTTTGATCATATAAGTATACATTTTAATGGGTCTATCTCTTTTTGTTCTGGTACTTACAAACATCGGACCAAAGTTATAATACCATTTCATGCTCATGAAACGTATAAAAATGCCCACGCACAAATATTGCCGCTGATAAAATTTTTATCAGGCAATAAAAATGACAGTTGGTAGGCAAAAACTTTTGCCTGTGGAGACGGGCCGTTAGTATTGTCAGACTATGGAACTCATTACCACTTTCAATTAAAAAATTCAGCTAGATGCTTTAAGACGGCAGTTACAGAACTTTTTACTTAGTTCTATGTTTTCTCATCTTTTATGTAACCCTTGTTCACCTACGTCATATTATTTCTTACCCTGTTTTCATGGTTGGATAAGCCTTAGAATTTAAGTTTAGTTTAAGATTAAAATTTGTAATTGAATTGTAAAAATGTACAAAAAAAGACTTAATGTCTTACCGTACTTTTGAGATAAATAAATAAATAGAAAAATATTTATTCACGCCATTTTCGGTAGCTTGGTTATTTTTAGCAAGTCGCCGTTGACTGCTTTTATTCATAGCCCACATCCCACATACTTATATGTGCTTTCGTTTAATCAGGAAAAAGGCTTCTTGAGTCATCATTTCGGGTGCCCGTGTATAATCGTCCTTAAATTAACTATTTAAATTCATCGAACGGTTGAAGCATCAAAATAATCAACTTCTCCGACCGTCACCAAAGGCACGTACCGCCCTCCCCTTGCAGTTGTATTTTTGCAGTAGGGACACGAATTTCGATACGATACGATACCATATCGATACTTTTGGCATTCGATACCGATATTTTCTACTCGATAGTTTTAAAACGAAATTTTTTCGAACCGGGTGCCAGAACCCTAGTATCGTATCGAATGTCATAAACTCACATTCCAACAATGAGGGGAAAAAATTTTAGAATAAAAAAAACGTGCTAAATTGAAAAAATACGCATATGAAAGAGCACCAACCCAACTCGTTTTAAATTTGAGTATATACGTTATAAAATATGTGGTTTTGAAGTGCACATATGCTTTTTCGTAATTAAGAAGAAAAAAAAAATTATTTTATGTTCCGTCTGATGGTAATTGAACCCGGACCCTCTTGGCCGCAACCAATTGTGTCAAGCGTCTTTGCACACTCAGCCACAGCCATACATGTAAAGGCGTTTTCAAATGTTGAGTTTGAATCAACATCACAGCGCGCGATTAGTGCATTATGTCATACCATGTATGTATGTGTGTATGTGTTGTTACCACTGTGCATGCTTTGTATACATATACCTTCTTAATTACATATGAAAAAGCATCCGAGACGTGCAAAATGCTTCATTTTAATACGAGCGTATTTGAATTGAATATTTCCATTATATGCACGTAGTGTATGTATAATAGAAAAATCCATTTTGTTAAGACTTTTCACTTGATTTAAATACGAACATTTTTAAACGGTAATCAAATAAAAGATTTTTATTCTTACAACGCGTTTTTGTTTTTCTCGGTGAAGGATAATGTTATTAACAGCTCAACCTAATATTACCGGCGAGAGTTTTTCTACGCACGCACGCAAGTTTTTCTCATTTGATAAACCCAAATCAATTTGCGTGCGTGATTTCTCAGAGTTGCATTACTGTCAAATTTACAGAAGTTTGCCGAGAAAAATTTGAATTCATAGTCGCGCCAAAATGCCAATTGAGCATAAACGTCAAATCGAAATGTCACGCAAGACAAATCTTGGAATTTGAGTTAGCTTTTTACGCACGCATATAAGGTTGGCATGTAACAATTCTTCCCGATATAAATTGGGCTTTAAAGTGCAGAAATGTGTACTATGGTTAGGATTGCATGTGGTGGGCTAGGTCAACACCTCAATCATCAATCTACGTGTTGTAATAATAATAAAGTCCGGCGCTTACACAATATCTTAGTGTTTGGCCGAACTTCTCCGATTTTTCGCGTGGGCCTTAATGTTGTGGCACAAAGGGGGTGCCTACAGTTTTAAGTCGACTCTGAACGGCGATTGTATTTTATGGGAAACTGTTTTTCATTTTCAAGGTTTGCGCACTTCTAACCACTACACCCCCAGTGGCCTATACGCGATACCTATATTCAGATAAATTTTTTGGTTTTTGGTATCGATATTTGGAATATCGAGTCTTTTTATTCCGATATTAATGGGTACCCGATATTTTTAAAGCGATACTTTAAATGAGTACCATATCGATACTTTCGGTTCGATATCGTGTCCCTATTTTGCAGTAGTTCATCGATCGCTAGCAGTGAAATTCCCATCGAGTTTCGCTAATACACATACATATGTATTTATGTACATAAGGCCCATCACTTGCTATTTT